AGATGGAAGAAACAAGAATAACCATATAAACTGGCACAATCTGCCATAAGTTTTCACTCCATCTCATCATACTCCCCCCAAATGAAGCAACATGTGAAAAAAAAGAAAACATGAGATTGTTTTTTTGTGAATTTTCCCAACATTTCCATCCCAACAAAGTCTTTTCTTTTGGTTTTTTTTTTGTTCAGTGACTCTTGTTTTTTTATTCTCTTGCAAGAGTCAGATCGGTGCCGTCACAGATGGGTCTACCATTGCGCCCCAAGCTGGCCATTGTTGTTCAAGGCTGCCACCTCGGCCATCATGGCTTCGATGTCTTGATCCGTGAAGAGCAGGTTAAAGTCTGCTGCTTCCTCAGCCTGGATGGCCGCGCTGACCATGGCGTCGTCGGAAAACGACTCGGAGCTGCCGTTCGAGGCCTGGGGCGGAGTCATGCCGCTGTTGCCGTCAGGCGATTGGTTCTGGTTGTTGGACATAGTTCCAACAGTCTCCTGGTCGTTGATCGGGCTCACGGGGCCCTGGGCCGTGGTGCCAGCAGGACTCTCGTGGTTGTTCGATTTAGCAGGTCGGTGCTGCGGGCTCGTATGAATGGGGGCCTGGACCATGCCAACAGGGCTCTGGTAACCGTTTCCTCCAGCTGGTCCTTCCTGCAGGCGGGGGTCGATCAAGTCTTGGCCAAGGTTGTGATCAGGGCCCTGGCTAATGTTGGCATGGTCCGATGCCTCGGTCATGTCGCTGCCTGCCTGCTTGGCTTGGAGATACTCATAATCGGGTTCCCCCTCAGCGTCTTCATCAGCGCCCTGCACCGGCGCGGTCTCCACAGGGCTATTTGGTGCCTGGTCCAGGCCCTGATCTCCCTCAAGATCAAGCCCAGGGTTTGCGTCGAGCCAGTCCTGTAATTCCCTTAGGGACTCTTTGCCTTCTGAGGCAGCTGGCACGGGCTCGTCCGCAACAGGGGCAGGTGCCGCAACAGGGGTAGGTGCCGGAAGAGGAGCCGGTGCTGCCACAGGAGCCGGTGCTGCAAGCCGGACTGGCAGCTGGGCGTGACCGAATTGGTACACATAGCCCCCCTGGTACCGATGTACCGGGACCGAGGCGTCGAAAACCTGGGCAGGACTAGGCTGTATTTGTTGGCCATTGACGGCACCCGATCGCGAAGCCGGTGTGGCCGCGGCCGCCGAAGGAGCCGCCGCTCTTGTTCGTTGCCTCTTGGCCTGTCTGCCATTGGGCTGGGCAGAGCCAGCGGGCTTAGCCTTTCTCCTCGGCTGATATCTGTAGTCGGGGTACTTTTCGTAGAAGGCCTTCTTTTCGGCCTCGGCTTTGGCCTCGTATATGGCCTTCACTTCGGGTGAAACCACCTTCCACATTTCCGATACCCGGGTCGCTGTTCACGAGGAGAGTGAGCATTCACACTGATAAGTCAGGCTGGGTGTTGGGAACTGCACTTACAGACAACGCCGTTTGAATCCTTGGGCCATTTCCCGTTATTCTCGACCCAGATCTGTTTCCGAACCTCGACCTGCATCTCTTGGCGGAAGATGACCCAGCTGTTTCGCGGACGTTTTATATGGTTGCCGTCCGCGTCAACGTCTGTTCTGGGACGTTGGTCTTGGTCTTCAAGGTCCTCATAGGCATCTTGATCATCAGATGGTGCCTCTGCGGGTCTCTAGCCCGAGTGGCTACCATTGTCTGAGTGAGCCTGGTCGGCTCTTCGCTTCCGGGATTGCCTGGTGGCCGGAACGGTATTGTCCGGGGACGGAGCATGGTGGGCCGGTGCCAAAGATGGGAGGCCGGGGCCTTCTGGGCGTCTGACTACGAAGCCTTTCCTGACGAGTTGTTGTTCGACACCGAGATACATCCGGGCCGGGTTATACTCGTCGAGGTAGTATTCGGCCGGGCCATTCATCAGGTTTCTGTAGTAAAGATAAGTCAGTCGTCACACCTCCAGGAGCCTGTAGAGATGATTAAGGCAGTGGGCCGATGAAAAGGTGATGGAAGAGTGATGTATATTGATGAAGGTAGCTGGGTAGGGATGAAAGTTCGCAGTGACGAGGTCAAAGGGCTGAAGAGAGCGGATGCAATGTTGGGATGTGTAAGAGTAAGATGAAGGAGAGAGTAGGGCTGTTATATCATAGCTGGATTGAGTGAATCCATGGGGAAGGCGATGGAGTGTGGTCTGTAGGTGCTCCGAGGGGGCGAGAGAGGGTAGAGAAAGAAGAAGATACTTACGAAGCTAGGTCGCTGATGAATCTCTGTCCATCCACTCCGAGGCCGTGATATTTGATGGCCGGGAACTTGATGTGCCTGGTGTCGTGGTCGACTTGGAGGGCAACCTCGCTCCAGAAATCGAAGGGATCGACGGAAGCCATTGCGAAAGCTGAGGAGTGATGTCGAGGATATAGATACGAGATATCGTCTCTAAGCAAGAGGGGAAAGCAATGAGACGATATGTAGATGACCAAGCGATCAGGCGAAGAGATGAAGTGATGGTATGATGAAGCAAGGTGGTGAAAGACTGTTGATGGATCAAGTATGTGAAGTATCGGATGCTTGAGGTTGTGAAAGTTGATGAACTGTGATGAAGGAGGGAAGGAAGAAAGTTTCTTGGGATGGAGGGAGAGATTTCTTATATAGACAGAGTATGGCACTAGTCTCGGGGTCTTGCCTGAGCGACGACTGAGTTGGCGATAGCTTCACACTGCCCCATCTCTCATAACAGTAGTACTGGAGAACACACAATAGTAAAGACCCGCTTGTAACTGACTGTCAGCAGTCCCAACTGTCTTCGAGACCATGTTTCCTGAGCGACGGGGGGGGTTGGCGGTGGTCCATCATTATCACAACTGATGATCAGTACACAACTCTGAAGCTTACAGTTGGAGCAGCCCGCTTCTTACTGACTTTCTGTACTCGGTCGCCATCTTATAGTACTGCTGGAAGTGGTGAGTCAACTTGGAGGTAATGGGGCCTCAGTACTGCTACTATACCGCATGGCCTCTTGAAGCTCCATCGGTCAGGATTGGGTATTATCCATTGTGACGGCCTCATGAATACTCATCTTCCACGGTATATTAGCCGTTCCCGAATGACATCTCAACCCTTTCAATAGATCTTATGCCCCATTTTCTACCTTGCCCCTGTTTTCATTCCACTGGTGCCTGTGGTGACACTCGCTATAATACGGAGAAAATGAGAGTCCTGAAGTGAGGATCATCGCTCCGAATGGCCAACTCAGCACCCTGTCATATCGAAGTCTGTTTTCAAAGGCCTAGAGGCCTCGATGAGGTACACTTGATCTCATTCATCTGCCATATACATACTACCCTGGGTATTGATGTAAGTGGCCTTCCTCGACGCAATGCGTGGTCTTAACCGCAGATTTCCTCATACGGTAACTGCCTCCGCGCAATGCTATTGTACTTGAGAAAAACGAATGGCCTCGATCCTGTTGGAGAAGTATTATAATGGAGTGACAACTCACGAGTCTCTTGATATTGATGTCTGTGATGAAGCCGGCCTTTCCGAGCTAAAAGACGGGGCCTTGCCCATATCTGGTAAATAGTGGAACTTGAGGTTATTTTAAGGATAAGCTTAACATCCTTCCGGTTAGTAGTGGGACGGTAACCCGCCGTTGTCCACCACTGGGAGCAAACTTTTACCCCTTTGGGTGGGAACTTCAAAATATCCGGGGACTCAGGCATCGACCACAATTCATGACCGGCTGTGTCTGATTAATAGTTCTGCTAACAGGACAGTATGCCTTGAACTCCAACATATGGACTGTTTGTAAACAATGGGACTGTCCACTCACAGTAACGTTGTTGCCTCGGGTCGCCGCAGTGACAACCATTCCCGTATCTCATCAAATGTAGACCTTTCCCGAAGTACACTGGCTCCGGTATCGAGTACTGCTGTACTTCGGCTTGACTATTGATACTGTAATCAAAGATATTACATACATGGTCTTTAGCGAAGAGTAACTAACATGTTCATCCAGTTGCTCCATGTTGCATCAACTCTATATATATCCATGGAGCTTCCTCAAGCTTGGAGTTTGAAGCTCCGGGGTAAAACAGTCCACAGCGCTTCTATGAGCATTCTTACACAAGGCAATCGATGCGTAGCGATGCGGATTAGTCTTTTGCACAATCCAATGCAAGAAAAACTTGCTTGAAGAAGGTAAAACATGTTGTTTCCTTAGCGTCATCCACCGGACATCGCTCCGGGACGACGGCAACCCCCCAATCCTTAGCGAACAAGACCGCCGTGAAGATTGGACTGGAATAACACATCCAGAGCTCGCCTGTAAGTGCAAACCGGCCCGGGTGACTGAGAAAGCCAGAAAAGACAAACGCTGATTGAGGTTGACGCAAGATCTCCCCTCATCCACTCATCCGACACCGCCGTCCCGATCCCTACAGATCTGATCTTTATCACCGCTCTACATGTCATCGCCGGTCGACCAATTTAAGCCCCGATGCCTCTCGCCATAGAGTCTTACGGTTTACCGCTACCCTCTCTCACAGACCCCTTACGATAAACCTCACAATAACCGGCAGCGAAGTGAACAGACTCATAATCCACATTGAGAGTTGTTGAGATGCGGGGAACGACTCGCGAGAATTGAGTGTCTAAGGTCCTCACGCAAGCTCTTACGACTTCATCCTGTCCCCCCTGTGTAGGGGCATAGCCGCATAGCACATCATGCCAGTGAAGCGACTGCAACATCCAAGAGAGCATAACACAAGCAAGGGAGTGACATCCCTGGCAGCCAGAGAAACTCAAATTTCCAACAACACCGTACCGTACACATAAGATTGACTAAGTACTGTGTGGGAACAGGATCTTGCCTAACTTGAAGCTCTCAAGCGCCGGGACTAATACCGAACCATACTCCACACCAGGGCCCGCATTGAACACTGAAGCGTGGAGCTAGAGCCAAAAAAAAATTAATTTCGTGACCAAAAATTCTTTTCAGAAGGACATATGGAACGGGAAAAAGTTGACCTCGCTGGGGGTCGAACCCAGAATCTCCTGATAACATTCTAGACAACTCAAGAGTTGCTCGAATCGTAGTCAGACGCCTTGCCATTGGGCCACGAGGCCGTGCCTTGTTGATTTAATCATGTACATTTGTCTCGTAAGTGTGCTCATATAGGGAAAACCGTCACTTCCACAGAGTAAGTATTGGATTTCTTCTTTCTAGGTCAAAAGCCGAACAATGCCATGTACTTGACAATTGCCAGTGTCTAGGTTAGACTAGCTCTTATGGCGTCGTGGATGCTTGGGTAAAAATAGAGGATGACAGGCATTGGCACCCGGGATCTATCTATCATCATCGGATCGATCATTTGCCTATCTATCCCCTTCCTTGTCCGGCGAGCAGGCACCGGACGGTCTTTCATCCCCCGAACTTCGAAGTCGAGGTGATACCGCCTGGTTTGAGCAGACTGAGGGAGCGGAGACGACCCTCATCACGTGCAAAGCGTCCGTGAGCCGAGTTAGTTGTTCACGAAAAGCCCGTACTGCCTGCCTCTGAGAAGCCAAACAAGGTGGCAGTCCAAGTGCAGAGCTGGCGATACCCTTGCCCGCGGTAATGTTAGAGACTTGGAACGCAATCTAGAGCATGGAACGAAAACTAGGACCAACCAGGCTCTTGTTCAAACTGATGATACGGCAATGACAGCTCAAAAACGGCACTGTGATGTCGCCTTATGAAGCTCTACGAGGGGCTGCAGCTCCAGTGCCTGTATTTTCTCCTTAACTGAGAGGGTGAGGATAAGGGGCTCAGGGGTAAGTGTATGAATTTTTTGGATTTATTCCCAGCGATGAGTTGAGAGTGGTTACGTAGCTCAGATATCCTGAGATATCCTGAGGTGTATATCTGCAGGTTGGAGCGTCTCATATAATTCACTCGCTCACCTTGTCCCGTGTGATACAAATAGCTGCCAGCCCCTTTAAACTAGGCATGTCCTCCAACTCGGCAAAATTGACACATGAACTACATACAGGTAGTATTAACCCCTGTATTATAAAACCCTCATCTCCTGTATTAGTCAGGGCACCCCTTTTCTCCCTCACCTCGATTATGAATATCTCATACTCAGAGAGTGTATGTATATAAATAAGTGTTGTCACAGAGAGTCGATCGATCCTTGAGTATTCTTTCTTGCTGCCTTCTGCACAGATGGGCTAGGTAGGGCGTAAGGCTCCTCAAGCACCGTCAGGTAGTCCCATGGCCTTTTGTTCATGAGTTATAACATGCATACATCAGTATATTGCTTTCATGTGGAAGAACAGACCCATGATGTGAATCACTGTCACTGCCACGTTTCTCAGCCTCTCTTGACGTGACCCGACCGGGTAGCCACATTCTACGACACCCACCCACCGTCGCCAGTGTTGTGAATGGCATCGTCGATGATCTCGTCGACACCCCAACTGGAGCCAGCCATTCCCAACGAGGGTAGCTTCCAAGGTACCAACCATTCTCCTCCACCCTAACCATATAAGTCCAAAGAAGCAGCTGTACTTCCAACAAGTTCAGAGATGAACAAAAAAACAGCCTGGTTGGTGTAGTGGTTAACACACTCAATGCCTAAACATTCTGAGCTGGTTGTGGGGATAAATACCCTGCTCGGGTATTCACCCTGCTTGGGTCAACGACCCCTAGCCCCTCAGGATGGGCACAATTGAGAGATCCTTGGTTCAAATCCAAGACTGGGTAACATTTTTTTTTCTTTTGGGATTTTTTGCTTTACCAATTCTCGGTGCAGTACCGCTAAATACTCCTCTACAATAATTCACTCCAAGTAAGATACCCTTTTTGGAGATCGTTTTCACAAAGAGATCAAAGGGCCACACACACTGTGCTTGCTGCTCAACATGCCAGCCACTTGACTGAATGAAAAAGTTCCCTGGCATTATAGTCTAGAGTTATTACGTTTCCGCTGGCTGCATGCAATAATCGTGACCCAGTCTCAACACTGGCATGTCTCAGAAACTGCTAGCTATATATATACTGTAGAAGTTGAATCCTTAGAGGCATTTTTTCTGGTCACAGACCGGCCACGAGAACATGCAGAGGCCGGTAAGGTAAGTACAGTGTTGTGCTACTCCTGTTGCCATCATACCACATACCTGGTAGACAGGAACATCTGCGGTAAGTCCGGGATATACAAAGCATTTATGACCGACCACCATGAGCCACACAGGATTGAGAGGAAGTTGTGTTCCTTAACCTTGCATTAATATTCAGATACAATGGCGGGAAAGAGAGGGCAGGGCAGCTGACACCTAACCGGCGTTTGTTTGATGATGAATGCTTGTTCAAGGCAGCTCTTTTTGATGGCGGACTTGGCGGTGGGAGACCTTACCCCGCGTACTCAATATTTAGTTTACAGCCATGCATGTTGACAGGAGATCAGCAGGTGTTGTTGGTTGGTATTATAGGTGGCTCTCAGCAGTAAGCTACAAGTTCAGCCTTTGGTCGTACTGTCTCTGGTTCATAGCCTACGGAGAAGTGTGCACGGAAAGAGAAAAGGGTATATGTAATGTTCTAGTCCTCACTACAAGCGAATTCCAAGAAAAGAAAGAACGCCACAGGGAACAAAGATGGGCAGTATGTTGGACTAGCTGAGGATATGTCACAGTATGTAAGTAAAGATGCAGATGAATTCCTGCAAAACTCAACCACCTGTTATAAAGTACATGACTTCTCCGCACCAGCACACCAGAAATAAGAGCTAATCGGGCGGAGTGGAAAGTACCTTCCATCCCCCACATCAAATGAAACAATCCGGAAACTTCGATCGCCTAAGCCCGGGCCACTGTATGTGTGTGATTAACGAAAATATTGGCACTCTCAGTGTCTCACCAAAAGCAGACAAAGCAATGACGTCCTCGAGGAGACAAGTCGTACTCGGAGTTCAACCCCTGCAACCACATGTCTCTGGGCACCTCCTTACCCGATCTCCAATTACCTGGAGGTAGGGGTAGGTACAACATAGGTAAGTATTGATCATACGTAGCTACATACGAGATCTGACCATGCCACCAATAGCATGCAGGAGCTATATGTGTTGATGGTGCCGGGACGCCGCCACCTCTTCTGGGAATGTGATTCCGAGTCTCCCCTTCCTTTTACCTCCCGTAGAACTGAGCTTAAAACCATTCATTCGTGCTCGGATTGCTTGCCACTCTGCTTTTCTTCCTTAACTTGCTACCACAAACATTACAACAAGCATAACAAACCTCATCTACTTTTAGTCTCAGTTACTAATGACCACGATGAAATCGTTCATGATCTCGATGGGCCTTGCTGCCCTTGTCAACGCACAGGCTGACAGCACCGGTTATTTCCCCGGCGAGCCGTCTTGTGCTGTGAGTAGCCTCAAACTTGCCCAGGGTGACTAATAGGAGATGGAAGATGTAAACTGACGATGATGCCACACTCTTATCGTGTAATACAGCTCCCTTGCCTGTCATCAGCCATCACAGCCGCTGGTTGCCAGCTCAGCGATATCGCGTGCCAGTGCGGGCCGACCCAGACCGCCATCGCCGGCAAAGTAGCCGGGTGCCTCCTCACAAGCTGCGACAGCAAGAACCTCAGCCAGGCTATGAGTGCTGGGCTAGCCGTGTGCTCGAGCTTCCACGCCGGCGAACTGAGCTTCACGAACCCCGGCGGCCCCATCCAGACCCCGACGCCGGTGCCCGGCTCGTCGTCATCGTCGTCCACGTCAGTGACCGTCACGACGTCGGCCACGGAGACTTCGAGTATCATCATGACGCTGCCTCCGATCGTGAACAGCACGTATACATCGGCGTCGGAAACTGGAGGGACCAGCAGTGAGAGTAGCAGCGGAACCGACAGCGGAACCGACAGCGATGTTCCAAGCACTACACCCACTACAACACACACAGACACCATCCGAGTCTCGTCGTCGATCCTCACGGGGACCGTCACCAGCGAGCTGACAAGTTCACCCTCGGGAGCTGCGGCCACTCCGGCGATGTTGGGTGCCGGTGTTTTGGCCGGAATTATGGGCGCTGTTGCTCTGTTGTAAGCGGATGTGCTGTTCAATTGAAGACTTGGAGATGTAATTTTTGGGAAAGGGAATCAGGGATTATTTTCAGGCGAAATCCCAATCGTGCCTTGCGACGAGATGCGAGACGTTGATGATAATACGAGTTATTGGGAAAAGGGTGTTCAGGGAGCAACGTTTTGGGAGTTGACATTTGGTATTCAATGAGTTTTGGCAGAGACCCCGATGGTTGGTTAAAGGGCTATGGCCGTGGGAAATCGTTTAATCCTCCCAATGTTACTGTTTTTTATCCATCGACGCACAATCGCGTCTTTAACATTGTCCATGAAGGCCGGGCCCCGGCTGTGAGTCGAGTCGCCATCAGATTGGTCAAGGTGAAAAGCAGGAAGCTGAAGAGTAGAATTACGACATTGCCGAACTTGCAACATTCTGCCCAGGCCTATTCGAACTACTGCGCAAAGGTTGAATGGATTCGGACATTTGGTCGAGATGGACGGACAACCTGGATGGAAAGGGAAAACTCGACAATCTGCATTTTCCTAAATCCGAGATCTTGAACACCGCAACGCAGATAAGCTATGCCAAGTTGGTAAGACCGGCCCGGATTCGATTTATAACTAACTTAGATAAGTTAGACAAGCTTAGAAGAGCCTTGGCAGGGGAGGTTACCTCACCATGTCAGCGGACTTTCATGAAAGTTCAACTCGTTACCTAGACTACCTTACCTCTCCTCCATATGATGGATTACAAACCAAATCAAGATGGGTGTAGCTCACGGCTTCAATCTCCTGTCTCTTATCTCCATACCTATTGCAGCAGGGAAAACAAGACGGGTTTCAAGAAACGCCGCCATGGGGAAAGATATAAAGTTCTGTCCAGATCGTCTTCATCATGGGCTGTTTTTGCTCCTTACCCTACTCACAAGGACCTTCAACACCTCATAAGTCTTCAACATCACAACATCCGTGATATACCCATCACTTCAAGAAATTACTACTGAAATTCATCTTTGAATAAAAAAATCTAAAGTTAATACGATGGCAACTGAGCACGTCCTTATCG